AGGGGGGGGATTTCTGGGTTCCATTTCAGTCTTAGAACAAGAAAAGAAGGCCAAAACAAAGCTTATCTCACCGGTTTCTCAAAGCTGGTGCCGGGTTCCCTTTCTTTTTTTCCTCTCGGGCTGCAGTAGGGTTGGGAAGAGCAGAAGCACGCGGGCTGAAGAAGAAGAAAGAAGAAAAAAGAAAAAGAAAAAGAAAAGAAGCTCATCCTTGTCCAATTTCTTTCCCCTTTTAAGCCCCTCACTTTTTAAATTTTGGCAATTAAGCCCAAAACAATATTTTTTTCACAATTTAGTCCTTAACTTAAATGATAAAATTCCCTAAAATTTGGGATATTACATCCACCCCTCCTAAAAAGGAGTTTTGTCCCCAAAACTCAAATTGAAGATCATCTAGACTAGTGAATGATCATCTAGACTCGACTTCCTATGAACAGAACACAGCCTACTATGCTTCTGATTCGCCACTCTGATATCGAACCACATCTTATCTTAAAAAGTAGAACCTTAACTACTTAACAGGGTTTACCATGAAACAAGCTACTAGAGGCTGGGGTGATAGGGGAAGCACAAGGAATAGAAATAAATCCTGCTAAAGCCACAAAAGAACAGTTGTGGGGTTACGCTACGAACCCAATACAAGACGAGTTGGCAAAGAATGGCATGGATTTAAAGACAAGTACAACAAAAGTTTGAACTCTATCAAAGACGTATAAGCATCCAATGGATATATGGATCATGAATGAATGAACAAGTGCATGGATGCCTTATAAATTCTGCCACAAAACAAAGGTAACCAATAAGTAAGATCATGTTTAATAAAACAACTGGAATCAAGAAACAGATTTTAGCAATTAACAAGAGTTAAAAGCTAGACCCATCAAAAGACATATGAAATTTCCAGAATAGCATCAGAATGAAATCAGTGAAAAATATGAATGCTTGGAAGAATACTGGAACATAAGAGTGCAAGGTAGAATGCCTAAAAAATTCAACAACAAAACAGCATTCACCAAGAATCAAGATCAAATTTAACCAAGTAGTCAAATTTGAGAGACAAGACTTAACCATGAAACAAGCAATAGAATTCAAGGATTAAGCCCACAAAAGAGATTTTAATAATGACAACCAGAACACGGATTCAAGAGCAGATATAACCAGGATGTCAAGATCTAGCACCTTAAGTACTAGAATTAATTAACAGAACAAAGCAATGGCTGGGATCAAGATGCTTAGAAGATTATTATCTTCTAATTAAAAGGGCAAACAAAAATCAAAGCAGCCAGATAAAAGAACCATTTCTCTTGGAACAAAACTCTAGGGCATCAGGTATTTCAAAGACTACCCCTTCACCTCGTAGCCCGTGGAGGCTAAGCAGATTTGCAATCAAGTCATCCTAGACATCCTAGAGTCAAGTCAAAGTTAAGACATCAAGAATACAGAGATTAACACTTGCAAGAGACAAGAATTATGATGCCTCATATAGGTATTTTCTAATAATCATCACCCCTCCTAAAGAGGTGTCCATATGAACAAAAATCAAAAATCAAGAAGATCAACAGGTGTACTAAAACAAGGACTAGCAAAATATGCAGGATTTGAGCAAGAGCAGTATACAGAATTTGAACAAGAGCAGTATACAGAATATGGGCAAGAACCAGTGTCAGAACAAGAACGTTTTCACGAACAACTCAAACTAGATTCCAAAAACCAATATCAATTGATTTTCAAGAGTAGAATTCCAACAAGAATTAATTTCAAGCAAGGTTTACGAACCGATTCCAAGCACAATGCCAGAAACAGTTTCAAGAAATAGTTTTAGACAAGTATCAAGATAATGAGGATTTCAACAATCATTATCTATTTCTGGATTTCAGTTTCAAGAACAAATACAAAGCAATATCAAGAAAGATTCAAGATTGATTTCAAGAGTTTCAAGCAGTTCCAGGTATCAAGAATGTAAAGATTAGCAACAATAGAGAGTTTAACTTTATGACAACTTGCCAATCTTCACAAAAACATGGCAATTTCAATTGAATTATCACTATTTTTGAGTAACCAATATAGAAAAGTGAGCCACATGAAAAGACCATAAAGCTCCAAATGGAAAAAGTGAAACTTCACTATAAGACTTCCAGAAAGATAATGAGCAACGAAATTACCAAGTTATCCAGCTTCTAAAACGCATCTAGAAAAAACACAACATTTGCTAAATGGCCTTGAATCTCTTACAAGGTAGAGGGTTGCCCATCTTCCACTGGTCATGTGATAAACATAACAAATTTCTCGACCAGCTATGCGGTAGAGACCAATAGCATCAATAACAAAAGATCTCTCCAACTCCCCAGATTTTACAATTGTGGCAAAGGAGCATACAAAAATTCTATTCACGTAAAAAGTCTAAACAAGTGCAGACTATCAGAAAATGACCACGTTTCAAAACAAGGTCTTAAGAACATGGCGAACAAGATTAATTTCGCGAATATACACAAGGTATGAAGGCAGGAAACAAGAACAATCTGATTACCATCTCCTCAAAATGGATTAGAAAATTCAAACAACATGAATCAGAATCATCCCTTACATAACCCCATCACTCATCTCACCACGGTTCTAAAATCCATTGGCTAGCCAAGTTCTAAACAAATCTTAGGTATTCAATTAAACCTAGGTATTTAATTAAATCTAAACTTGATATCACTCAATCTGCTCTAATGCCACTCAATCTGGAGGTGCTTAATTTACTCCAAAACTCTTAATTTCAACCTAAGCTCTCATACCACTAAATCTAAAGATAATATTTTAAAATTTTCTCTGATATCATAAAATCTCCAAATACAGCCTAACTTACAAGATCATGATCTATATCTAAAATCTATATCAATCTCAAAATGGCTAGCCTTCTAACTCGTGACTTCCCGTGGTTTCCCCGTCCTCGGTTT